GGATACCAGAGGACAAAAGGGCCAGGAAAGTGTATGGTGCATGTGTTTGGCGGATGCTTGTGGGATTGCCTGTGTGTAGAGTGGTATTGTGTAAATAGGTCAATTTTGTGGTGTAATATGTGTGGCTAGGGGTTGTAGAGAGTGCGTGTATAGGGGCATAGTGTTATAGGGGATGTAGCGGGTTTGTGCATACAGGCAGTAGTGTGTGTGTATAGGTGACGTAGTGTGTGTAGGGGTTGTAGAGAGGGTGTGTTTAGAGAATGTTGTATGTGTTTTCTTACAAGGAATGTAGTGTGTGTAAGAGATCTAGTGTGTAAAGGACCCAGAGTGTGTGGGTGTGTGGGGAGAAGATTAAGAGTGCATATAGGGTAAGCGATCTAGCGTGTATCTGGAGCGTAATGTGTCTAGTGGTGCAGTGTCAGGGGTGCTGTAGTGTGTGTGTGTGTATATATATATATAAAATATATTTGGACGTTTTGTATGTGTGAGGTGTGCAGTGTGTTTGTGTAAGAGGGGTGCTGTGTGTGAGGGTGTTTTTATCTGCCGTCACATTCTAGGTTTCTAATTTTCTTTGTTAACACACACACACATACATATATTGCTGTATATGTGTGGGAGTGAGGGTGCTGCGCGTGTCTGGGTGCTCTTAGGGACTTTTTTTAGTAATAATTAAAAAAGAAAAGTTATGTCCTCCCCCCTTCTTACCTTTAGAGATTTTTAAGCAAGTATCAGGATCTTAAATTGAGTCCTGTATAGGGATGCACCGAAATTTCGGCAGCCAAAATGTTTTTTTTTTTTGTAGTGCATAGTTTAACAGACATTCATATAGTAACAATTCTGATTATATATCACAATAAAAGATAGTAATGATAACATGAAAAGTCAAAAATACTGCACTTGGGACGGGGGGACGAACACTATGGGACTGGGGAGGAAAGGGAAAAGGAACACTAGAGGGGGGAAGAGAGAGAGAGAAAAAAAAAAAAAAAAAAAAAAAAATTTTCAAAAATCATCTGATGAAAAAGTGTCATTTTCGGTTTTGGTTTTTGGCCAAAGGCATTCTGAATTTTTGGTTTCGGCGCATCCCTAGTCCTGTATCTTCTGGGAAGCCAATGTAGAGGCAAGGGGGGTCCACCAACATACCTATGCTATCTACAACAGTTTATTTTGTTGAGCCTCTCTTATTGTGTAGTAGTTGTCTATCACCTTATAGAAATCTCTTTCATAACTTGCTGACAGCTCTGTGATTTTAAGACATGTTTTGACACCCCTAGGTTTAACCCAGTTCTGTACCATATGCACTAATTTTTATAAGCCTCCAGTGTGATTATCAATACCATGCAGGGCCGCCACCATAAATTTTGGGGCCCCTAACTCAGCTCAGGGCCGCCTCCAATCCCGCCCACAGTGATACAAAGGGACACAGATACATACACTGAAACAGACACAGGCATACATAGTGACATTCAGACAGACACACACCTCATTTCTCAGCCACTCTCCTGTTCTTACCTTTTCTTTGCAGGAGTGTGGCTGGGGCTGATAGGAATCGGCTGGCTCTCCCTCTTCACGGCCTGGCTGGCGGTCCTCCTGCGTGGAGTGAGCACTTCTTCCCAGCAGCACTTGCTGTGTTTTTTTTTCTTTCTTTTTTTAAAGGGGCTCGGTCACGCTATAACACTGCCACTGTGCTGACCGGGCCCATCGAGTGGACCTAGGTGCGTGAGCCACCCGATGGGCCCCATCAGCGTGCAGGCCCCAGTGCAACTGCACCGGGGCAGTTCCGCTACACGTGAGGCCCGGGCGGCCGTGTCCCCCAGGGCCGCGACAACCGTCATGTTTGTCACCCCCTGATACCATGCACTATGACCGAGTGGTTTCTAACTTAAGTAACTCTCATGTCTATGTGTCTTTTACTACTGTGATAGGATCTGAACTAGGCCAAAAATTTAGTAGGCCTAAAATCTCTACATGCATCTGTTAATTAGTTACACGTAGCTAGGAAACCGTCATCTGATGTACTGAGCATATGCTAGATTTGAAAAACCACATTCCATTCTCTCTCAGTGCCATACTGCCTATCCATATAAGGTAATGACGTAAATACTGTCTGATTGGTGTAAGGATATAGGAGGGGGATGCATACTGTATATAATGCCTGTACTGTACGTTCTTGGTGCTCAGACTTTGGACACTAGTTGACTGAGACCCGATCGGTGAAAATGAATCTCTTTGCTTCCTGAACTGACCTGCGTCCGGACTGTGTGTGGCTCGTCCAGTGTTCTCCTATAACACTACCACTTACTACAAGCTTATTGTTTAGACATTTTAGATCTCTTGTTTACTGTTATCTTTACAAATTTGTGCTGAAACACAAATACCATGATTTTATTTTAGTTTGTTGATAAAAGCTTGTGATAGTGAGGAATTTTCTGTCAGGAATTTTCCCCTTGCCATGGTCTTTTGTATCAATTTGCAACTCTCTGTATTTCTCCTTGTCCCCAAACCAGTTGGCGAGTAGCCCCAATGAACGATACAAGACAAGGTTCAAAGTGACTTCTGAGCGTTTAATGAGCCGTGTAACAAGTTATGTTCAAGAGGAAACGGGTGGTCTTACAAGCATTATCCAATCCTAACAAAATCTCTTATCTTAAAGGACCACTCTAGGCACATAGACCACTTCAGCTTAATGAAGTGGTCTGGGTGCCAGGTCCAGCTAGGGTTAACTCATGCTTTTATAAACATAACAGTTTCAGAGAAACTGCTATGTTTATGAATGGGTTAAGCCTTCCCCCAAAGCCTCTAGCGGCTGTTTCATTGACAGCCACTAGAGGCGCTTGAGTGCTTCTCACTGTGATTTTCACAGTAAGAGCACGCCAGCGTCCATAGGAAAGCATTGTAAATGCTTTCCTATGCGACCGGCTGAATGTGCGCGCAGCTCTTGCCGCGCGTGCGCATTCAGCCGACGGGGAGGAACGGAGGAGGAGAGCTCCCCGTCCAGCGCTGGAAAAAGGTAAGTTTTAACCCTTTTCCCCCCTTCCAGAGCCGTGCGGGAGGGGGTCCCTGAGGGTGGGGGCACCCTCAGGGCACTATAGTGCCAGGAAAACGAGTATGTTTTCCTGGTACTATAGTGGTCCTTTAACATTCTAAAGTTCTAAATGACACATTACTATGCAGTTTATGATCAAAGGGAGAAAAACAGGAAATAAGGCCAGCAGCAGAAACATACAGGATATAACACTAACACTTGTTCTAGCACACTGTGTTCTAGAGCTCTTGTCTAGGGGGTATATTCACTAAGCATTGGATATAGATAAAGTATATAATTTCAAATAGCTGACATGCTCCAAGTTTGTCAATTTTAAACAGACTGAGCATCAGGTCAACTGTAGCTTGGGCATCGGGAGGAGTTTGTAGACACTTCTTGATTGTTGAAAAGGCCCACTTACCGTATATACTTGAGTATAAGTATATAAAACCCCCCACTCGTCTTATACTCGAGTCACTGTCTGTATTATGGCAACTTACTTTGCCATAATACAGACCAGGACCACCGGGCTGGCAGCGAACTGTAACTTACCTTTCCTGCAGCTCCTATCTGCTCCCTTCTCTCTCCTCCGTTCCGGTCAGCTCCACTGCAAATCTCATGAGAGCCGTGGGGTCAGAGCGTTGACACGGGTTACCGTGGCAACGCTCCGCGCAGCACTCAAACCGCAAGACAAAAAAAAAACAAAAAACCCACACTATATATATATATATATATATATATATATATATATATATATATATATATATATAAAAAAAAAAAAAATTAATAATAAAAATGCCCCCCCCACCCCACCAAGGCTCTGCATCACATACACTGCATACATTCAATTCATATAATTTTGGGGGGGGGAATCTAATGTTATTTAGAAATTTACCAGTAGCTGCTGCATTTCCCACCCTAGTCTTATACTAGAGTCAATGAGTTTCCCAGTTTTTTGGGGTAAAAGTAGGGGTCTCGACTTATAGGGTACGTAGTAAATCAGGAGATAGATTATATTCTAGCTTGCAATTCTGACAATAATTCCAACCAGGACCTTGTGTCCTATGTCTCCTAATCATGTCCCTATTCCAAGTGTCCAGTCAATACCAGTCATATCCACACTCCGTTCCTCAAAACATGGGAATCCATTCTTGGCCTACTCAACATACATCAAAGATACATACTACATTCATCCTGGGTCAGCTAACACTTCCTCTCTCTCTGGCTAACTCTACAAAAATAAAACAATTGTTCAATAGTTCAGAAAAATAGAATAAGTCTTTCAAGGAGTGTAAAGAAATCAGTTTAGACACCATAAACTTTGTTCCTTAACATAGCTAAGGGTAGCAATATGGCTGACAACAAGACAATGTCAGCTTCTACATAGTTCTTAGTTCTTTTGTTTGCTGGATGTGCACCACAATGGTCTGTACAACACCCAAATTGTTGAAAGGGTTATTACAGAACTACCGGCATTAGACAGCCCTGCACCTTCAGGACTTTCCAGGTTCCTGCGTGCAAAGTTTATGTCCTCATAATAAAGCATCTCAGTTTCTTTGGCCTGCATGGATTTTGACTAAACAGATATAATTGCAAAATAGTGTAGGGTGAGCCAGAGTAGAGTGATAGATAAGCAGATCCCAAAAAAATCTGGTGACACAAACACTCCAGGACAGTCTCTACAATCATGCTGTAACAGTCACCAGGGGACTTATGTAGCAGTTTACCAGGAGTTGGAGCCCAGTTGCAGGAGATGGCACAGGAAGCAGGCAAAATCCAAAACACAGTACAGATTAAAGGAAAATCCAAAGGCGAGAAGCAGAAGTCAGGGCCAGCAGCAGAGTAACAAAGTCGGTAATCAGTCAGTAGTATAGCAAAGATTCGGCAGGAAACACCTAACAGGCAAAATGACCAGATACTAGGTTTCAGGCAGGGCTGGCTTTTACAGCCTGCTAATTAGATGCAGCTGACCCTAATTGGAAAAGGGCTGCAGGTGGATCAGTGCTGCTTAATCCAGGCATGGGGGTCAGGAAGCAGAAAAATGCAGACAGAAACTGAAGCTCCCTGGTGGATGTCATGGCAGAGAACCTGAGTGGGATGCTGGAACACTGAGTTCAAACTCAGCCAGGTCTCTTAAAGGGGCAGTCACACCTTGCTGTCTGCTTGGGCTGAACTGTGACACATACAAACACAAGGATCAATTACCTAGGCTAAAACTTAAATTAGAGACTTGTGTAACATGTACTTCTCTCAGCTTTGCTTATATTTCATGCAATCTGTCTTCTATGAAATTTTACATAATTTCCCTTTGTAATGCCTTTGTACGGATGAGAAGCACTCACTCCCACTCACTCCAGGGCCGGACTGGGAAGAAAATTCGGCCCGGTCATTTTTTAATTACAGCTGCCCACTAAAAAGGGGGCGGGGTCAGATAGGGTGTGTTTTCTCATCACCAATGACAAGCACGCCCCATCACAAAGTGAGCATGTTGGTTCAATGCTTTTCCAGAGTACACCATGCGCAGAGCTCTGCTGAAGAGCTCTAGCATGAGAAAAAGATCCTGTGTTTGTTCTGCACAGTGCAAGCTAATTTAATAACATGCTTGCACTGTGTTTGTTTGGAATTAGGCCCTGTGGAGACAGCGCAGCTAAGCGGACAAGGGCACATGTAGGAGAGTGGGGATAGATGCATGGGATTGGTTGGGAAAGAGTGTGTGGGTGGGATTATGTTCTGTGTAAGTTAGTGTGGGGGAGGTCTTACCTCAGTGCCACTTGGGATTCAGGCCAGCAAACAGCTTCCCTCCCGCCCGCCCTATTAGTTTATTTAGTCACAGCTAGCCGGGGGTATGTCCTTGCCAATTGAGTTTGAGGGGTTACGTTTAAGTATATGGAATGAGATGAACAAGTTTTAAGGTCTCAACCTCCCGTGCTTCAAACGGTTAACATTAGGTTGCCTGAGGTGTCGTGCCCATCGAGCGTGGATAAGGTCTCCTGATGGCGGGCATTGGAAAGATATGATTTTTGTGACAAGGGGGGAGGTGAGAGGAAGTGGTGATTAGGAACCACTGTATGTTTGTTGGCAAGGACGGTTGGGTCACTGTATAACACTATGTGTGGAGTCATATATATATATATATATATGTTAATTTATGCCTATTTATGTCTAACGTTTTGGTTACAGAAAAAGAAGAGATTTAATAAATAAAGTTATGGATGTGTTATGCAGTAATTTAGTTTGTGATAATAAATGCTGTGGCCTTTTTCATCCATACTAAGTGGTCTGTCGTTATTTGGGGGTTGAATGGGGTTAGTTTATGTTTTAGGCTGCATCGCGATTCCCCACTACGTACATACAGGTCTCTGGTGTCTCCATAGACGGGATACCAGGAGACAAAAATGCTTGGAAAGCGTATTGTGTAGTGTGTGTGTGTGTGTGTGTGTGTGTGTGCAAGGGGTGTAGTGTTGTGTGCAAGAGGGGTGCAGTGTGTGAGGGTGATATGTGGTAAGGGTGCTGTGTATGTGATGGGTGCTGTGTGTGAGTAATGGGTGCTGTGTTTGTGTGAGGGTGCTATGTGCGTGTGAGGAAGCTGTGAGTGTCAGGGGTGCAGTGTGTGTGAGTGATGGTGCTGTGAGTGTCAGGAGTGCAGTGTGTGTGAGTGATGGTGCTGTGAGTGTGAGGGGTGCAGTGTGTGTGTGTGAGGGTGCTGTGAGTGTCAGGGGTACAGTGTGTATGTGTGAGGGTGCTGTGAGTGTCAGGGGTGCAGTGTGTGTGTGTGAGGGTGCTGTCAGTGTCAGGAGTGCAGTGTGTGTGTGTGAGTGAGGGTGCTGTGAGTGTCAGGGGTGCAGTGTGTGTGTGAGAGTGAGGGTGCTGTGAGTGTCAGGGGTACAGTGTGTGTGTGAGTGAGCGTGCTGTGAGTGTCAGGGGTGCAGTGTGTGTGTGAGGGTGCTGTGAGTGTCAGGTGTGCAGTGTGTGTGTGAGTGAGGGTGTTGTGAGTGTCAGGGATGCAGTGTGTGTGAGTGAGGCTGCTGTGAGTGTCAGGGGTGCAGTGTGTGTGTGAGGGTGCTGTAAGTGTCAGGTGTGCAGTGCGTGTGTGAGTGAGGGTGCTGTGAGTGTCAGGGGTGCAGTGTGTGTGTGAGTGAGGGTGCTGTGAGTGTCAGGGGTGCAGGGTGTGTGTGTGAGTAAGTGAGGCTTCTGTGACTTGAGTGATTATATCTCCCCTCCCTGCTTACCTTTAGCCTTGGAGGGGGGATCCTGCTGCTGCTGCCATCCATCCCTACTGGTCGTAGTGGTGAGTGAACTCTAGCCTGTGGGGCTTTAAGTTAGAGCTCCTCTGGGTTCCTCTCCTGGCTGTCTCCCTCACTCTCTCCCAGCCGGCGGCCGGAATATACTACATGTGGGCCGGTGAGGGAGATCTTTGATCTCCCCACCGGCTCGTCGTGGACTACTGCACGGCCGGCGCTTGGATAGTGCCGGCCCTGCATAGATCCACAGGGGAGATCCTGTGATCTCCCCTGCCTCCTCGGCCCATGGCCACCGCGGCCCACTGGGCATTTGCCCAGTGTGCCCAATGGCCAGTCCGGGCCTAACTCACTCTATATAAATGCTTGTTGGACAGGATGAGTACTAAAACACTTTCTCGAGCAAGTGACTAACTGACGAAATCTATATATATATATATATATACAAAGAATGATAGGAGTTGCACTCCAGCTCTCCTTATTTATTGCCTGGTGCTCGGCTGCACAAATGTATAGCTTTTAGAAAAGAGTCAGCACTCAAGGACTTTCAATGTGCTAAAAAATGCAAAAGAACCTTTTAATCCAGTTGTTCAAAGAGGTCAATGTTTCAGTCCATCGTCGTGGACTTTCATCAGGACATAAATGACAAGACACAACATTCAGTTTAAATAAGAAAAAACTAACTTACCAAGCCGTTTCCACCTGTGTGCCGGCGTGGTCTGTTCCCCAGTGCGCATGCGTGTCACTCCGTTCATCTACTTCCGGTGTCAGAGTGCAACCTACCCGTCACCCTAGCAACCTGTAAACAGATCGCTGAAAACAGCGATCCGTGATAACATGTTGAAAGTGCCCAGTGCTATGATGTTAAGTCAGTGTTGTCATATCAGTGTTCATATTAAACTGGCACCTAACATAGCCAGTTTAACTGTTCGAATTCTCATATTCTCATTAGTACAGTGAAGACAAATTAATCTATCTGTGTAAGTGCATATCATCATACATGCTAGGAGATTGTGATGAAGAGAGGTAAAAGATAAGAATTGATTTACCTCATATACAAAAAGTGCAAGTGCTCAATATGAAAGTGCTAACAGTAACGATTTGTTAAAGTGACAGGTGCAAATATATACATTCTATCAAATGATGGAGTAAGTGAACACACTTCATTGCTATGGGGTTACAGTGTTATATGATATAAAATCACTACCTAAACATCAAATATAATAATTTATATCCTACTGTTTAACAGCACTATTCCCAAGTGTCAAAATTTAGAGACAAAATATTATTGATATATAATTATGTCCCTATTCATTTATGGATAGATGCTAAGGAGTGGGGGGAAAAAACAACCATCCTCCTTTGAAAATTTTTTTTTTCTTTTAGTGAAATACAAATCACAAATTTTTTTTCTTTTATACCTATATCTTAATCCATGTTAGATACACTGGGAATATATGCTGCAAACATGTATATAAACAAAAAATTAATAAAATCAATATGAAAATTCATCCAACCACTTAAATGAACGATGTGAATGTCAATTTTTCATTAAGGCCCATAGGGGCCATAGTATTTAATTCACGAATCCAAAATGTCTCTCTCTGCAACAATGCCTTAGAACGATCTCCTCCTCTCCTAGATATTGGAATGTGGTCAATGGCTATACATTTCAATGTTGTAAGTGGATGTTTATGCTCAAAAAAGTGACGGGCCACCGGTTTATCTGTGCTGCCATCTCTGATCGCCGTACGTATGCTTGAACGATGTCCCCTTATTCTTTCGCACAATTGTGTGTCAGTTTTCCCGACATAATGTAATCCACATGGGCATGACAATTTATAAATGACATGATCTGTTTTGCAGGAGATGCGTTGTTTGATTATATATTTCTTCTGGGTATGTGGATGAAAAAAAGACTTCGTGGGGATAAGATGCCCACAGGTCACACATCCTAAGCAGCGAAAACAACCTGGATTGAGAAATTTATTCTGATTCCGCAGATAACTCTGTTCTGGATCAGTGCGGACTAACAAGTCTCGCAAGTTTTTCTCCCTCTTGTAACATATCATTGGACTTTGAGAGAATATTGTAGGTAGAGTTGGATCTCCTGTTAAAATATTCCAGTTCCCCTTAACAGCTTGAACAAGTTTGGTGCTAGCAGAATTAAATTTCATTGGGAAAGTTAATCTTGTTGTCCTTGTTTGTTGTTGTACATTCGCAGTATTCACCATTTCCATTCTTGCTTTTTCTAAAGCTGCATCAAGAATGTGCCGATTGTATCCCCTCATGAGAAATTTATTATACATGCTACCCACTTGATTTTCAACCCGTGCAGCCGATGAATTATTCCAAAACACTCTTAAAAATTGAGTGTATGGTAAGGATTTCTTGCTGTGTTCAGGATGTGCACTCTCAAAGTGCAATATGGTGTTTCTATCGGTAGGCTTTGAGTAAAGCTGATACTCTATTTTGTTGTCTTTAATGAGGATCTCCAAATCCAGATATTGTACCATAGTATCACTGATGTTTGCCGTGATTTTAACAGGACTAGGGAGGCAATTAACCTTCTTCACGAATTGCTCCGCCTCGGCAATTGAGCCTTTCCACAAAATCAAAATGTCATCAATAAAACGCACATATTGTACGATTCGTTCTCCATATGGATGTAAGATATATTCTCTCTCAAATATGTGCATGTATGCATTCGCATACATCGGCGCCATCGCCGCGCCCATCGACGTTCCTGAGCACTGCATATACCATCGGGTTTCGAATCTAAAGTAATTAAGTTGAAGTGTTAGCATAAGCAATTCCATGACAAACTCAATAGGAGGACCCTTATAATAAGATGATTCCAGTAGTATTCGTCTCATTGCTTCTATACCTTCCTCGTGGGGGGTTATAGTGTAGAGACTCTGCACATCTAATGTAATCAACACCAAATTTGTGGGGACATGTTCAATGCTCT